TCCAAGTTCAAATTTCAGAACATGACACGAAATCTAACAGTCAGTAGGCTCTGATACTAATAGCAAACTACTACAATGCTTGATTTGATTTTAAGTTATTCCTCCCCATTAATGCACCAAAAAAATTTATTAAAGAGGTAAGGAAAAAAAAAAGAGGTAAGGAAGGGTGGGATAAATTGGGAGACTGGGATTGGCATATATACACTACTATGCATATAACAGATAACTAATGAGAATCTACTATATAACACAGGAAACTCTGCTCAGTGCTGTCTTGACCTAAATGGAAGGAAATCTGAAAAAGAGGGTGGATATATATGTGTGTGTGTGTGTGTGAGTGTGTGTGTGTGTAAAACTGATTCACTTGCCTATACAACAGAACATAACATTATAAAGCAACAATACTCCAATATAAATTATATTTAGAAAAGAGGCAACAATTACCATAGGAATTGGCATACACAATATAGGTCAGTTGATGTTAAATCATTAACACATACCCCGAGCCAACACTAATAAACCCACCTCCTTCTCAAGTAAGCAGAAATAGTCAAAATCACTTAAAATTTTATAGGAGACAAACTGAACATCCATCTTCCAGAAACGCTTGCTGAATACTTAGGCTAACTTATGGGGGGCAAGGAGGGGAAAGAGAGACAAACATCTTCAAACTCTCAACATCCAAAAGAAAGAGGGAGCAATTCAGATAATTACGAATAATAACAACCCATCTTTCCATCATTTAAAAATGAAAAAGCAGACACACATAAAGATTCCAGGCAAACTTGACTTCACACCAACTACTAAGGCCCCACCCCCATGTTAAAATAGATAACTCTCTCTCAACAAAGGGATCTAAAGGGCAGAAGGATGAAGGATGCAGACGTGGGACAAGCGTATCACTGTCATTTGAACTGGGAAACAGACCAGCTAGAAAGTCGTAACATAAACAAAGGCTGGCCAGAAAGCCAGAATTCAAACAGTGCTCACCAGATGAAGCGTGCGGTATACAGAATCGCTGGACTTGCCATTGTTTTCAATCCTGGGCTTGCGCTTTATTTTCCACAACGCAGACATCATTAGGAATGTATTCTCATGATAATTCTACCTCCTGACACGTTCAGCACAGAGACAGAAGTTTCTTAAAATACTTGGAGAGCACCGAGTGCCTTCAGGCTCCCGAGCAAGCATCCTTCATCCAGACAGCCCATGCCGGCTCTGCCATGAGGACCTACCTACAGCTGCATCTCTTTACAGAGAGCACAGCAGCAGCGCGACCCTGAGAGCAGCTCCTGCTGCCCGGCAGTACCCTCTGGGAGGGCGGCAAAGGCTGCCCAACAGACGAGAAAGCTTTGATTTCACCTGGCTAAACAGCAGAAGTTCCAGAAATGGAGAGCCAAGAGGCGAGAAAACAATGCAAAAAAAAAAAAAAAAAAANCCACATGTAGCAAGAACTGAGATCAGAAATTTGTAAAAACAAAACTCCAACACGCATTCTCCTTACCCTGCCCACTGTTTCATTAAGACAATTCACTTAGGAAGAGCAGCAAAAATATTAAACAAAAATCAACAACCTTCATGTATTCAGCCAGAATTTTTAAAAATGATTACTTGTTTCATTTCATTTGCTCATCTGTTTGTTTCTCTTTACTTTTATATTCTACACTCAGTCTGGAGCATTCAAATTAAGGCGAAATTGTCCTTCCACTTTTAGGCAGCCTACAACTTAAATTTTGATGTTTTTAAACTGTGGTGTTGGAGAAGACCTGAAAGTCCCTTGGACTGCAAGGAGGTCAAACCAGTCCATCCTAAAGGAAATCAGTCCCGAACATTCATTGGAAGGATGATGCTAAAGGTGAAACTCCAATACTTTGGCCACCTGATTTGAAGAGCTGACTCACTGGAAAAGACCCTGATGCTGGGAAAGATTGAAGGTGGGAGGAGAAGGGGACGGCAGAGGATGAGATGGTTGGATGGCATCACCGACATGATGGACATGAGTTTGAGTGAACTCCGGGAGACAGTGAAAGGGAGGGGAGCCTGGCGTGCTGCAGTCCACGGGGTCGCAAAAAGTCAGACACGACTGAGTGACTGAGCAACAACAACTTAGAAATGAATGTTCGCTTTTTTCTCAAGAAAAATCACACAATGATGCAGGAGCTATATTAAAAGAATATTTACCCTTAATCTAGAAACTTAAAATATACATTTTCCGTTACTTTAAATCATGACAAAAGATACTCACAAAGCTTAATAAGCATTAGAGAAATACTTAAGTGGCTAATGAGTATATAGTTGACTCTTGAACAACTGAGGGGTTAGAGGTGCCAAACATCTTCGAAGTCAAAAATCGACATATAACTTACATTTCCCATCACCCCCATAACATAGTTCTTATGTACCTATGTTTTTCCTCCGCATCCATAGTTCTGCATCCGTAGATCAAACCCAGATTGGTAGTGCTATGGACTATTGGAAAATTATCCACCTATAAACAGACTCTCCCAATTCAACCCCATGTTGTTCAAGGCTCAACTGTATCTAAACTAGCTTATTAATTAATTAATTACTTCAGTCATTACCTACTTCCTCATTTTTTGAAACTCGGTATTTACAACCAGACCATACCCATCTGGCCAGAAGGTCATTTTCGGAAAGCAGTAAATAGCACAGAGCTGTGTTCTGCCATCTCAGAGCTGTGTGACCTTCAGTAAGCTGCTTAACCTCTCTGGTCCAACAGCATCATCTATAAAATATGGGGAATAACAGTATCTCTTTCTCAGGGGTATTCTGAGGGTGAGATTGGTTACTATAGAATAACACCCAATACATACAATATACTACAGACGATAGAGAATCTGCCCACAGTGCAGGAGACCGGAATTCGATTCCAGGGTTGGGAAGATTCCTTGGAGAAGGGCATGGCAACTCACTCCAGTATTCTTGCCTGGAGAATCCCATGGGCAGAGGAGCCTGGCAGGCTACAGTCCCTGGGGTCGCAGAGTCAGACACGTCTGAAGAGCTAACACTAACACACATAAGTACTATATGTTAGCCACTCAGTTGTGTCCGACTCTTTGCAACCCCATGGATTAGCTCTCATTTATTACTAATAATAAAATTGTTCAAATAAAGATAAAATCTGAAATCTACTCAACACTAGGAAGTAGTATTTTCAAGTACAGAATCATGGTGCTCCCTACATGCAACCTGGAAAAAAAGGACTATGATCCTAACCTATGGTGTCAATGAGGCCAATGTATGATCTTTAAAAATACTCAGATCATCACCCAAACTTGTCAATAACTTTGAAGAAATTCTCCTTTATGAGAGCCGACTATGCATTTCTACAGTGAACTCCGGAAGTAGTATCTCCTGCTCCGATATTGGACCCTGGCTGTTCCAAGCAGGTTTCAGGGCCTTGTTCTTAGGAGAAAGAACCATGACATCAGAGGCACCTGGGATGAGGCGACAAAACCCTGGCCCCTTCCTTCCTCCCTGCTGCCAGAACCGCAGGTCACAGAGGGCCCTGCTAAGCACTCCATGACTCACTACATTTAAGACGGAAACAGTCTCTTAAAATCCACAAAGGGAGGGAACACGGGGCTATTGGAGCGAGGTAAAAGTGATCCAAGTTAACAAGTATTCACAAATGAATGTCTCAGATGCAGAAGAAATAACTGTATTCCCAAATCAAATCAGAGACTGAAAATAACAGTTTTAGCTTAACAACAGAATGATTTAATAAATAGCCTTCAAAATATCTTATCTCGCATGGAAATATCTATTTCTCTCAAAGGCCATCACCCTCCCCCACCTTCCCAAGAAAGTAGGTAAAAGGCCACACAAATAAAAAGGAACTATAAACAAGCCTTTGTCTGTGTTTTTGGCTTTAAATGAAACAGACTTATTTATGTATACCTATGGGGACATATGTATACCTATGGCTGATTCATGTTGAGGTTTGACAGAAAACAAGAAAATTCTGTAAAGCAATTATCCTTCAATTAAAAAATAAATTAATTTAAAAAAGAAAATCCTAAAGCTATATGAAGACAAAAAGAGACACAAACATATGCACACAGAAATGCAGGTTTTTGAAACAATCAATCATATTTGAACTCTAATTCCATTAACAATATCAGTTATATTCTTTGACCCACTGCATCATCCAATCATCAGACAAGGGCAAGAATCACCCTGATATTGTAGATGAGGAAACAAAGGTATAATTTAAAGTTATATGATTTGTTCAGGTTAAATGACTGGAAAACGTCAAGCAATATTAGACAAGCAAGGGAATCAACACAAATATGTCAAAAACATTCTCAAAAAAATAAATAAATAAATAAATATGGACATAATCACACATATTTTCTTTGCTGCAGAGTCTTTCGGCTATAGGTAATAGAGGTTTTAAATTGTTATACTGTGATGAAAAGAGGTTATTGACACAAGGAACTCTTTAGGAGGTGGAAATAAAGCATGACGAATTATGAAAACAAATTCATAGCAGCACCCAAGAATCAGAATAAGAACTTTGTCACAGTGCTCGACCAGCTGAGCACACTGTTTGGATGGACACAGCGATGGTCTCTTTCCCTTTAATGTAAAAGATGCTTGCCCTTCACAAGAGCTAGACAGAGATCATGCAAACGCAGTTCCATATAGGAACCATGAGTAGCAGGAAAGTATAACTGATCCAGTTATACTCATTTTTGGATGCCTTTTCCTCATGCAGAAAGGGAGGGCATAAGAAGGAAACAGGATGGACACCGACTTTAATTCATTAAGGGTGAGCTGTGCCTTATATTGCCACATGTGGGTTTGTTCTCACGGCTATCCTTAGGATGGCGTATCCTATTTAGTGACCTCTCAGAAGTAAACACACTTCCGTCCCGTGGAGGGGCCTTCCCACCACACACAGCTGCAGAGGTGATGTGTCAGCTGTGACTCTTCGGTGGTTCGAGACATGGGATGTGAAAATGGAAATCTCTCACCTTGCTGCTGTGATCAGTATCATCTGAGGATTCCAAGTCCGGCCCCTCAGCCTCCTCCGGAGCAGCCTCCGCACCGCTGCCCTGCTCGCTGCAGAGGCTCTGGCCTGCAGGATGAAAGCAGAAGGACACGCCGGTCAGCACACACAGTCACCGCTGCAAGGGCAAGAGGGCAGGGCGTCCAGCTCGTGTGCCCAGTCATGTCCCAGTCTGTGCGACCCCATGGACTGCAGCTCGCCAGGCTCCTCTATCCACGGGATTTCCCAGGCAAGAATATGGGAGCAGGTTGCCATTTGCTGCTCCAGGGGATCTTCTGGGTCCACGGATGGAACCCGCATCTCCCTGGCACCAAGCCAGCTGGAGAGCCTCAAGCTTATGATGTGTCCATATATTGTTAAACCCTCCAAGTATGGGCGCCATGACCTTGGATCTTAGCTGTCTTTGTTGTTACCACTATTATTATTACTTTATAATATGTTCTTATTATTTATAGTATATATTTTATAACATATAATATTTGCTATGGACTGAATGTTTATCAGTCCTGAATGTTCATTGGAAGGACTGAGGCTGAAGCTGAAACTACAATACTTTGGCCACATAATGTGAAGAACTGACTCACTGGAAAAGACCCTGATGCTGGGAAAGATTGAGGACAGGAGAAGGGAATGACGGAGGATGAGATGGTTGGATGACATCACCGACTCAATGGCCATGAGTTTGGGTAAACTCTGGGAGTTGGTGATGGACAGGTAGGCCTGGTGTGCTGCAGTCCACGGGGTCGCAAAGAGTTGGACACAACTGAGCGACTGAATTGAACTGAACTGAATGTTTACCGCCGCCCCACCCCGCCCCTGCCAAAATCATATGGAAAGCCCTAACCCCCAGTGGGACTGTATTTGGAGATGAGGCATTTGGGAGCTAAGGAGGCTTAGAGGAGGTCTTGAGAGTGGACCTCCGTGATGGGATTGGTGTCATGAATGTCACTGGAAGAGAAACCAGAACTCCCCTCCTCTCCTGTAAGGGCACTGGAAACAGCCACCTGCAAGCCAGGAAGGGAGCCCTCAGCAACAAGCCTGGTCTTGGACGTCCCAGCTCCAAAACTACGAGAAATAAATGTCTGTTGTTTAAGCTATTCAGTCCGAGGTCTGTCACCACAGGCCCAACCAAGACAATAATTTATAATACACATGTGTGCATGCTAAGCTGCTTCAGTCGTGTCCGACTCTTTGCAAGCCCATGGACTGTAGCCCACCAGGCTCCTCTGTCCATGCGATTCTCCAGGCAAGAATACTGGAGTGGGTTGCCATTCCCTTCTCCAGGGGATCTTCCTGACCCAGGGATTGAACCCATGTCTCCTGGAGCTCCCGCACTACAGGCGGGTTCTTTACCACTGAGTCACCGGGGAAGCCAATAATACATATAAGTTAAATAAAATTAAATTGGGCGATTTGATTGATTTATAATCAACAAATTAATTGTTGGATCAATTCATTGCTGCTACTGCTAAGTCACTTCAGTCGTGTCCGACTCTGTGAGACCCCATAGACAGCAGCCCACCGGGCTCCCCCATCCCTGGGATTCTCCAGGCAAGAATACTGGAATGAGTTGCCATCTCCTTCTCCAATGCATGAAAGTGAAAAATAGTGAAGTCGCTCAGTCGTGTCCAACTCTTAGCAGCCTACCAGGCTCCTCCATCCATGGGATTTTCCAGGCAAGAGTACTGGAGTGGGGTGCCATTGCCTTCTCCGCAATTCATTGCTAGGACAACTGAATAAAGCATTCTGAGAAGAACATTTTAAAAATAACTGTTTGGGGGCATCCCTGGTGGCTCAGGGGTTAAGAATCTGCCTGCCAATGCAGGAGATACAGGTTCAGTCCCTGGGATGGGAGGATCCCACATGCTGTGGAGCAACGAAGGCCACGCACCACAGCCACGGAACCTGCACTCTCCGTCCGGGAGGGGCAACTACTGAGCCCACATGCCGTAACTACTGAAGCCTGCTCGCCCTCAAGCCCATGTTCTGCAACGAGAGAAGCCTGTGTCCCACAGTGAAGGGCAGCCCCCACTGACTGCAACTACAGAAAAAGCCCATACAGCAATGAATATCCAACACAGCCAAAAATAAATAAATCAAATTGGTTTTAAAAAGCTAATAACTGCCTCATAGACATTATCTGGCAAACTTCAAACATCTTATAACACCCACTCTTTCCACCATATTCCATGCAAAAGTGCAGGTAACTTTCTTTCCTATTTGAACGAGTCCCGACTCCAGTGGTTTTGCCTGGAGAACCCCATAGACAGAGGAGCCTGGTGGGCTACAGTCTACAGTCTGGACCAGCAAGGGCTGGACACGACTTAGTGGCTAAACCGTCAACTGCAGTGGTTGGCTACGGTAAGCCCTGCGCTGGGGAAGAGAACATTAAGATCACTTCCCTCTGGGAGGCTTCTCAAATTTAAAGAGCATCTGAGCTGCCTGGGGATTTCTGTCAGGCAGATTCAAGCAGAATAGGGTCAGAACTATGGTTCTGCATTTCTTACATACTCCATGATACCAATCAACACTGCAGGTCCATGGACCACACTGGGAGCAGCAAGTCTCTCGGATATTTACAAACCTCTAGCTAGTCTGGTAAGACATTGGTTTGATGACTATTAGAATATTCCAGGCACTAGGTCAGGGACTACAGCACCATACTGTAACCAGATAAGAGAGAAGGGAAGAAAGAGAAGAAACCTGGGTAGAAGGAGCCACTTTCTGACTTTTGCGATGAAAGCGTCAGTCTGAAAAGAGTCCACCTTGCTCCAGTGGCACCATCACAGTCATAAGCCTGCGTCTGGCATCACATTCAGATTCTAGGTTGACTGGGACACTAAGGGAAGAAGCCAATTCCTGAGCAAATCTTGCTCCAGAACTGCATCCTGTGGTCCCCTTCCCTCCCCTGGAAGGAAGCACCAAGGAGGCGAAGCTTGCGTGGTTTGTAAGTTTCTGTGCCCACCCTTCCTGCGCCCTTGCTCTGGCTCTACGATTTTCCTGCACTTCTTTTAATTCCTAGCTCACTATACATCCCATGGACAGAGGAGCCAGGGGCTACAGTCCATTGGATCCCAAGAGTCAGACAAGACTTAACGATTAAACCACCACCACTCAATAATATGGTGGAAGCCGCCAAAGAAGGAAGTTCAGTTAACTTGGTGGACATCAGCTATGTCACACCGTCACCGCCAGAGGGGGAAAAAAATAGTGACTGAATGCTTGAAATGGGGGCAATGACCTAGATGCTGGGGCTGGAGAGAAGGGGAAGATGTGAACAGCGTTTAGCTCTGAAATGGCCGGATCCATGGCTCTCTCAGCAGTAAGCTGACAGCCAGGCTGTAAGACACACAAGGTCACCTTCATGCTGCAGTCTGCACAATGGCAACCCCCATTCTGTACAGCCAGATGCCGTGACCCTGCATATTTCCACTGCACATTATAATGCCTGGGATCTAGAGGATGCTCACAGAACAGTGGGGAAACGAATGAAAGGATTTTCATTGCTAACACGGGCCAGGTATCCTGAAAAGGAAGCAATGCCGCCACCGCCACCCCCTCCCCCCGCCAATTCTACAAAAACACTGACAAATGCTAAGTAAAATAGAACAGAATCCTTTTTAATTTTTATTATTATTATGTTTTGCTCACACTGCACAGCACGTGGGCAGTTCCCCAACCAGGGATCAAACCTGCGCTCCCTGCAGCGGAAGCAGGGAGTGTTAACTACTAGATCACCAGGGAAGGCCCCCTAAATCCTTTTTAAACATAAAGCTGAGCTCTAAGAAATCCCAGAGTCCAAAATGAAGACAAAGGAAGGCGAAGCAGTGGGCCAGTCCCAAAGCCATGGCAGGGCTAGATAATTCACCATCTGCCTCCAAACTGCATACCCCAGCGCAGTGTTTCCTAAAGGGAGTGGGACTCTGCTGGTGCCAGGAGCGGACGACGTTTGGGAAGAAAGTGTACACACAGCAGGTACACAGGGCACTAGCCTCCCTGGGCCTGAGCACGGAGCACCTTCCGCGCTCCCCAGGTGCTGTCACAGTCAAGAAGGCCCCCAAACCAGCCCAAAGCAGAGTCAGCACCACCTGGGAGCACAGCCCTGGAGCCGTCATAAGACAGAAAACAGGGGCTGGGTCAGTGCAGCTCAGGGAGTTAGAACCAAATCTCCCACGTTCATAGGGTTCTCCTAAAGTACTATAATCTCGTCCCAAAAACACAGAAAAAGACTTTTTTTAAAGTACTGTGTACTCCATCGGAAGGACTGATGCTGAAGCTCCAATACTTTAGCCACCTGATGCGAAGAGCCGACTCACTGGAAAAGACCCTGGTGCTGGGAAAGACTGGGGGCAGGAGGAGAAGGGGACGACAGAGGAAGAGATGACTGGATGGCATCACCGACTCGGGGACGACAGAGGAAGAGATGACTGGATGGCATCACCGACTCGATGGACATCAGTTTGAGTAAACTCCGGGAGACAGTGAAGGGCAGGGAAGCCTGGCGTGCTGCAGTCCACGGGGTCACGGAGAGTCAGACACGACTGAGCGACTGAACAACAAATGTATAAAATAGGTGCCACTAATGAGAACATACTGTATAGCACAGGAAACTCTGCTTAATGCACTGCTGTGGCCTGACTGGGAAGGAAATACACACGGGAAGGGATATGTTGACAAGTTTATGGATTATTACCTCCCAGTGGCCCCCAACTCCTAATAACCCTCCCTCCCACTGGGGGTTAGGACTTCAATGTAGGAACTCTGGCAGAACACAAACATTCAGTACGTGATACTCAGGCTGAAAACTTGCCTTAAAGTTGTTCTAAATTTGTATTCCAAGGGTATCTGGCAGAAGGCAAAAAACAAGTCTGTTCCGGAGGGAATCACCCTTAACGATGGTTTTGTATTAATGGTCAGGCATGAGCTTGTCCAACAAGAACCACAATCCATCATCATACAACACAAGGAGAACCAGCTCCCCATGATGGAGAAGCAGCAGCCACAACAAGCAGAAAGAGATTTNCCTTAACGATGGTTTTGTATTAATGGTCAGGCATGAGCTTGGTCCA